AAAGTAGATGTAGTCATCTGATTATGAAAAGTGGTTTCACATATACTCGGGCTAGATTTGTGCTTTTAGTCTCTATGCCTTGAGGTGGCAATCGTAGACTTCAAGTAATATAACGGCATTCGCGAGTGGCAACAAACGTAAAGATCCGTCAGCTGTAGGGAAGAAGGACGAGAATTGCATAATTAGTCTGCTCATTGCCTAAACTAGCGTTTGTTTTAACCATTCTATTTGCAAAATAGCGAAAAATATTTACAAAAGCCTATACTACTTAACAATTTGTCAATAGTAGCAATAGTCGAAGACCGCACAAAAACACCATTAATGGATTGTGCAATTTTTTCCACAATAACATGAGTAACCCTGACGCTTCCGAAATGGTCACATTCACGCCATCCTCGGGAATCGAACCCAATTAGCCCCGACACGTTGCCACGTTACACACCAAACTGACACGACTGCGTCCGAGTCACAGAGTAGATGTGAATTTCAAGGGAACTCAGGTCTCTTTCATGTCACAGCTATAGAAATATGTGAAGTATTCACCCTTTTCCCACACTTTCCCACACTTCCATTGATACACCTTGGGTTTCCTTTGGATTTCACATAGTCTTGCTTCCCATTTTAAACAAATATGTAACTAAGTTACTTATATTCATTCGTGCAGCCCTAATTACTCTTTTCCTTTACCGAATATCGAATATGCCATCTTCCAAATAATAGAAAATATTTCCGTCAGCCTATACTACTCAAATATTTGTCAGTAGTAAAGTGTGGAAAATAGGAAATTAGTCGTATTACAGAGAATAAAATATACTATTAGATTGCCTGAAGAGCCAACATGGTGTCACATATCGAACATATCGAACCTTTGCAAGGGCCAAAAGTGTTTGCTTATCTTCTGCATGGCATAATGCAGCAGACGAAAGTGAAGAAAACTGGGTAGGGCACGATTTGTGTCTGTTATCGACGCTATATAGCTGACGCACTTCTTTTTCCCCTTTCTGTATATGTATATTCATAGGTTTGTATCCTCTCAATCATGCGAATCAATCTCTTTTTGGAGCGTACCTCAGGGCTCTAAGTCGGCACCATCCTTGTTACCGGGCCTGAAGACTCTGTTTGTCTGGTCGAGGCCAGAGCAACAGACGATGTGGCTAATGGAACATTATCATTCCGACCATTATGAGGGTCTACACGAATCCAGTCGCTGACAAAAGCAGACCTTTAGGGAGGGTGGAGAGGACGAGGAGAGAGAAGAAGAGCAGGCACTTGGACGATCTCAGCAAAAGCGTCTATCAACGAGTGAGTGGGTTGTAATGAAGCCTGACCGACGATCCGTCTCTCAGCCTCTTCTCAACACCTTCAGCTCGTCCCACTTCTTCTGCTCTTTCGCTGACCTGCCCTCGGGGGCTGGTTTCAGGCGAAAGATGATTAAATTGGCCCATACATGACTCTCCGCCTGACTGACAGACTCCGCAAAGGGCAGTGTCGTTTGCTTGTCCCGTAAAAACTACATGTTGCCATGCCGACAGCAATTTGCGGCCCGCAACATCGGCCCGGCTACGGTGTTGCATTGAGTCGCGTCCGGCAAGAACTGGTGCCGAGCGTCCAATCAGAGACTCCGAGACGAAGTCTTCGTCCCTTTTAGAGGCAGCGTCTCGCCGACCCAATTCCCCTCACCACCACCCTCCATGCCCTGACCCACGTGCTCATAAAGCACTCATTTTTCTTTCAGTAGTCACATCAGTAGTCTGGCCTGTGCCCTCAATGGGTGGGGTGGGGTG